CACTATGGGACAATTTAGCACGGCCAATCCACCCTAACCTGCACATCTTTGGACTGTGGGAGGAAACTCACACAGACACGGGGAGAATGTGCAAACTCCACACAGACAGTCACCCGAGGGTGGGATTGAAGCCGGGTCCCTTGAGGTAACAGTGCTAACCACTGAGCCACCACACAGTCTATGTTGTTATCCCATTTGCTTGTCATTCATTTGCCTTGTTGATATATCGAGCAAGTGTGCTTCCTTTTCCAAATATTGGTGACAGATCAGACAGCGTTACTTTCTAAACTCTACCTTTCATGCTTTAAGAAAATCCCCCCCCCGTGTGGTTTCTAAGAATTCTGCGATCTTATTCCTCATGTCATTTACCGTGTTGTCACTTCCTGCATCCCATCTAACCGTACCCTAATATGTCCTGACAGAACATTGATGATACAGTGCGTAAAAGAGATCAATAATTTTTGACTTTACCAGGAATAAAGGAAGAAGACGAAAAATGGGACTGAAAGTGTGAACTGAATCCAGCGCCAGTGTTGGATTCCGTAAGCTATACCAGCCAGCATCATTTGACCAGCAGTGAAAATGTAATTGCTAGTCATTTCAACAGAAATTCGAAATCTTGTTGGGACCCATTCAACCCCTAGAAGGAAGACAGAAGTAGATTCAAGACTCTGAATTAAAGGTCAAAACAGATTGTACATTTACTGAAACTAACAAACAGTGAATCATGGTAGAGACTCATGCACTTGTAAACAAAACTGCTGCAGTGTTCGGGAGAAATACATTGTGCTTGCCACACGTGCAATGTAATATTTTGTTAGTAAAAGTTTTAATGATCGGCATTTTACACACACTCTCACACACTCTCACATTCACACACACACTCACACACATTCACACGCACACTCACACACACTCACTCACACACATTCACACACACACTCAAATACATTCACACGCACACACACACACTCACACACACATTCACACACACACACACATACATTCACACACACACACACACACTCACACATGCACTCACACACATACTCACACACACATTCACACACATTCACACACACACACACGTCCACGTACACACTCACACGCTCTCACAAACACACACATTCACACATACACTCACACACATTCACACACACACTCTCACACACTCTCACAAACACTCACAAACACACACACACACACACATTCACGCACGCACACACTCACACACATTCACACACACACACACTCACACACACACACATTCACGCACACACACTCACATACATTCACACACACACATACACACACACACACATTCACACACACACACGCACACACATTCACACAAACACTCGTACACACACACACCCTCTCTCTCACACTCACACATACTTACACACTCTCACACACTCATATACACACACTCACACATACACACACACTCACTCACTCTCACACACTCACATACACACACTCACACACACACACACATACACACACTCACACACAATCATACACTCATACACACTCACTCTCTCTCACACATACTCTCACACACACACTCACACACGCTCATACACTCACTACACACACACACACACACACACTCACGCATGCACACACTAACACACACACACACTCTCTCACACACACACACTCTCTCTCACACACACACTCAAACACTCACACGGTCATACGCTCACACACTCACGCTCACACACACTCTCACACACTCACACGCACACACTTTGACTCACACACACACACTCTCTCTCACACACACGCTCACACACACTCATACACTCACACTCTCACACACACACACTCTCACACACACACTCATACATACACTCACACCTTCACACACACACTTTCTCTCACACACATACACACACTCACACACCCACTCACACACGCTCACACATGCACTCACGCACACACACACACACGCATACACACACAAACTCACACACACACACACTCACACACACACACTCTCACACGCACACACGGTGTCAGAAGTGAGTAGTCAGGATTGAATGGATTTTGATCGTATCTGCTGCTATGAAGGAGGTGGGAGATTTGAACACAAATTGGCGAAATCCTCCCATTCTTGACATCGGAGATTGTCAGAAGTCACACAACACCAACTTATAGTCCAAAAGGTTTATTTGAAATCAGAGATAACACAGTGTGGAGCCGGATGAACACAGCAGGCCAGGCAACATCAGAGGAGCAGGGAAGCTGACGTTTCGGGTCTGGACCCTTCTTCCTCTGATACTGCCTGTCCTGCTGTGTTCCTCCAGTGATAATTACAGATTGGACAAGCAGAATGGTAGCAATGGAAAACCAAGAGTGTGCCTGAATCCAAAAGACTTTGATAACATTTTGGAGCGATCTCACTACCCTGTGTTAACCAATGAAAGAATTGTGCCTTAACTTGTCAAGGTAAAGTTCTTTCTGCGATAAGTGCGAAGGATGGATGCTGCTAAGGGAACTTGGATGGAAATGTCTGATGATGTTCCGGGCCATCATTTGGAAGGTTGCATGTACCGTTGGCATCTCCACTGCTCTGGAAAAGTATCAACGCAGTTGACACGAGATAGTCCGTAATCTCCCAGGAGTGGAATTGATTAAAGTATGACCTGCTAATGAATGAAGAGCTCCAATGGATAAAGCTTTCACAGACCATACAGAGCCGTAGAGGTCTACAGCACGGAAA